CACCCCACACCCCACACCCACACAACACACAATACACAACACACAACACCACACAACACACAATACACAGCACACACAACACACGCACAACACACAACACACAATACACAACACACAACACACAACACACACACAACACGCACAACACACAGCACACACAACACACACACACCACACACAACACGCACACAACACACACTACACACGACACACATCACACACGCACAACACACAACATACAACACACACAGGACACACAGCACACACATACACCACACACAACACACAACGCACACAACACGCACCACACAACACACACAACACACACCACACACCCCACACACCTGACACACCCCGCACACCACACGCACCGCACACACCCCACACATCCCACACACCACACACACCCCACACACCCCACACACCCCACCACACCCACACACCCCACACACACCACACACCCACACCCCACACACCACCACACACACACACACACCCCACACACCCCACACCCCCACACACCCACACACCCCACACACCCACACACCCCACACACCCACACCGGCATACCCACGCACCCACACCCCACACACACCCCACACACCCCACACACCCCACACTCCCCACACACCCCATCCACCCCACACACAGCACACGCACACGCACGCACACACGCACGCACGCACGCACGCACGCACGGACGGACGGACGGACGCACGGACGCACGGACGCACGGACGCACGCACGGACCCACGGACTCACAGGCGCACGCACGCACGCACGCACGCACACACGCACACACACTCACGAACACACGAACACGCGCACACGCACGAACACGCACACGCACGCACACGCACGCGCGCACGCACACACGAGCCCACACACGCACGCACGCACGTACGAACGCACGCACGACACACACACAGCACACACCACACACCACACACACCACACACACCACACACGCACAGCACACACACAGCACGCACAACACACACACACACCACACCACACACACACCACACACACCATACACACAACACGCACACAACACACACCACACACCCACACACCCACACACCCACACATACCCATACACCCACACACACACATACACCACACACACACCCACACACCCACACACCCACGCACACGCACACGCACAAGCGCACGCGAACGCGCACACGCGCACACGCGCACACGCGCACACGCGCATAGACGCACACACGCACCGCACACGCGCAAAGACGCACAGACGCACACACGCCCACACGCGCACGCGCACACACGCACACACGCACACACGCACACACGCACACACTCACACACACACACGCGCACACGCACACACACACACACACGCACACACGCACACACCCACAAACCAACACAATTACACACGCACGCACGCACAGACGCACATACGCGCTCACGCACACACGCACAAACGCACACACGCGCACACGCGCACACGCGCACACACCCACACACCCACACACTCACACACCCGCACACCCACACACCCACACACCCACGCACACACGCACACACGCACACACGCCGCGCACACGCGCACACGCGCACACGCGCACACGCACACACACACACACGCACCCGCACGCACACCCGCACACACACACACCCACACACTCACACACACGCGCACACACTCACACCCGCACGCACGCGCACGCACGCGCACGCACGTGCACGCACGCGCACCCTCGCGCACGCACGCGCATGCACGCGCACGCGCGAACGCACACACGCACACACACACACACGCACACACACACACACACGCACGCACGCGCACGCACGCGCACACGCACACGCACACGCACACGCGCACAAACACACACACACACGCACACTTTTTCCGTCAGCGGGGAGGCGGCGAACTCCGCTGCAGCGAGAAGCTAGACGGCCACACACACACGCACACACAGACACACACACACACTCAGACACACAGACACACAAACACACACAGACACACTGACACACGGACACACAGACACATAGATGCACAGACGCAAGAACACATAGACACACAGCCTCACAGACACACCGACACACAGGCACACAGACACAGACACACAGACACACAGACACACAGACACACCGACACACAGACACAGACACACACAAACACACAACACACAAACACACATACAAACACACACACAAATACACACGCACACGCACCCATACGCACACACACACACACGCACGCACACACACAGCCACACACACAGACACACACGCACACAAACACAAAAACAGACACGCACGCACGCACACACACACACACACACACACGCGCACAGGCGCACAAGCGCACGCGCGCACACGCACACACGCACACACGCACACACGCACCACACGCACACACGCATAGATGCACACACGCACACGAGCACACACGCACACACGCGCATACACAAAGACACATACAGACACAGACACAGACACGTACATACAGAGACACACACAGACACACACACACACAAACACACACACAGACAAACGCAACCACAGACACGCCCACACGCCTAAACAGACACACACGCAGACACAGCCACCGACATACACAGACACAGACACAGGCACAGACACATACACAAGCACGCACACAGACAGAAACACACGACCCGCCACACACAGACACACGCACAGACACACACACACACACAGCAGACACACACAGACCCACACACAAACACACACACAGACACACACACTGACACACACAGACACACACAGACACACACACACAAACACACACAAAGACAGACGGACACACACACACACACGGACACACACACACATCAACAGACACACACAAGGCCACACACACACACGGACACACACACAGATGAACCCACAGACCCACGCACACAGACACCCACACACAATCATACATACAGACACACAGACATACAGGCACACACCACACACCACACACCATACACCACAGACCATACAGACACACACCATACACCACACACCCAGACACCAGACACCAGACACCACACACACAACACACACCCAGACAACCAGACACCACGCACCAGACACCAGACACCAGACACCAGGCACCAGGCACCAGGCACCCGGCACCAGACACCAGTCACCAGACACCAGACTCCAGGCGCCAGGCACCCGGCACCAGGCACCAGGCACCAGACACCTGACATCAGACACCAGACACCTCACACCAGGCAACAGACAGCAGACAACAGACACCAGACAACAGGCAACATACAATAGACAACATATACCAGACAGCAGACAACACAACAGCAGACAACAGGCAACAGGCAGCGGACACCAGACACCAGACAGACACCAGACAACAGACACCAGACAACAGGCACCAGGAAACAGGCAACAGGAAACAGACCACAGACAACACACACCAGGGAGACAAGAGAAGAGACAAGAGACAACATACACCAGACAGCAGCCAACAGCCAGCAGCCAGCAGCCAATAGACAACCTACAAGAGGCAACACACACCAAACAACGGACAACAGACACCAGGCAACAAGCAACACAGACAACGGACACCAGACACCAGACAACAGGTAACAGGCAACAGACATCAGACAACGGCCAACAAACAACAGGCAACAGACAACTGGCAATAGACAACATTTAACAAACAACAAACAACAGACAACAGCCAACAGACAGCAGCCAATAGACAACAGACAAGAGACACCAGACAGGAGTCAAGAAAAAAAGTACACCAGACACCAGACACCAGGCAACAGACAAGAGGCATCAGCCTACAGACAACGAACAAGAGACACCAGGCAACAGGCAACAAGCAACAGACAACAGACACCATACAACAGACAACAGGCAGCAGACAATAGACAACGACCAACAAACAACAGGCAACAGGAGGCAGGCCACAGACAACAGACAACATATAACAAACAACAGACAACAGCCAACAGACAACAGCCAGCAGCCAACAACCAACTGGCAACAGACACGAGACAACGGACACGAGGCACCAGGCAAGAGGCATCAGACAACAGACAGAGACAGCAGACCACAGACACCAGACAACAAACAATGCACAACACACAGACACACATACACACATACACACATACACACACATACACACATACACACATACACACATACATATATAAACATACATACATACATACATACATACATACATACATACATACACACATACATACACATCGCACACATATACATACACACACGCAGATTGCGCCACGCAACCCGCGCCACGCAGCTCGCGCCACGCAGCTCGCGCCGCACAGCTCGCTCCACGCACCTCGCGCCACGCAGCTTGCGCCATACACACCCACACGCAGCTTGCCCCACGCAGCTTGCGCCCCCGCCCTGCCCTCTCCTGCTCGCGGCCAGCCCCCGCTGTCACTCCTTGGCCAGCCGATCTTCGGGGGCCCTCAACGGTGCGGTGACCACATCGTCCAGCGAGTTGCGGGTGAAAGGGCCGCCTTCGCACTGGAGCGTCCAAGACCTCGTCGGCTCCGAGACCCTCCAGCGTCGGGCTGCCCGGCCCCCATCCCAGGGTCCCAAGCACCTCAACGAAAAGAGGCTCCCCCTTCCTCCCGGGCGGCGGCGGCGGTCAAGTCGGCGCCCCCTCGGGCTGTTGGGCGTCCTGTCCCGCATGGGTTCCGTCGGCATCCGCCGATGACGACGACCTGTCCCTGTCCGCCGGGCTCGTCGCCTCCGTGAACGGTGGGGGGTCCTCGGGTTGAGGCTCGGGCCCGGCGCTGGTAGGCCGCGGCAGCCTCTGAGCAGATGCAGGGCGCGCGCGCTGGCCAGAGGCAGGGGGGCATGCAGCGAAGCCAAGGGACGCCTACCGCGCTTCCGCCCCAGACGCGGTCTGTGCAATGAAGTCTTCGGGATTTCGAGCTCCCTCGGACAACCTCTCACCAGACGGCCCAACGCCCGTGCGCCCAGGGGCGGGGCGCCCGGGCCTGCAACGAACGCGGCAAGGTCCTCGTCGCTCACGGCGGCCAACTCCTCAGCATTCCGGGAGGCGGCTGTGGCGACCAGGACGACAACCACTGCGACAGCGGCGGCGACAACAAAGGCGGCGGCGATCCGATCTCCTCGGCACTGGGGGAGGCGACTGTAACTACGACGACGAGGGCACTGGCGACGTGCGGCGGTTGGCTTCCGATGCAATCAAGTGTAAAATTGCTGAGGGTCTGAAGACACCCAGGAAATCCTCATCGACCGTGATTCATTGTGAAGGAGCGATTAACCAATGTCGTTACCTTTAGACGATAACTGCCTTTGGATTGGTGACCTATGGATGGATCAGCCGCACTCCCCCTGGCCGCATCATTATCAATTTCGAACAATGGAACTCGGATCAATATTCCGACATTATGGACCAAGGTTTTTGTTCCATTCAGGACCACTCTCAAATGGCGACCGCCAATCTCAATCAATCTCATCCCAAAACCATCAGTCCGGGCTCGTAATGTCCTGGGGATACTGAACAGGTAAATTCTCGTCGACCGTGGTGTCATATCTAGATCATGACATTTAGATGAAGATCCTGTTGGATTCTTGTCGTCTGGATGGTGGATTCCTCCTCCGCGGTTGAATTGTCTTGATTCTGTAACAATGAACCTAACACCAAAACTCCGATATTATGGATCTGGGTTGATTTCATTCTGGACCAAACTCTGAAACGGTGACCCCCAAATTCATCATGATTATTCCAGAATCATGATTCCGATGTCAATATTCCGGGAGCATGCTGAATCCGGGGTAAATCCTCTGGAGATAATGAACCAGCGCCAATATTCCGACATGCAGCATCCTGTTAGGTAATCCCGGAACATTAGAAACCAAATTCATAATGTTCTGCGGGCGGCATTCTGAACCCCATTATTCCAGGAACGTCATAAACTCAGTCGTTGGACTTTGCTTGGAGGTTGGAGGTTGGGATGAAGCAACAGGACCGATCACCAACCGACTCACTGAATGTACGAGTGCAAAGAACTTTGTAAGGGCTATGGTGGCGTCGCCCGTTTATGAGGCCTTCGGGGCAAAGGCCAGCATACGATCAAACAAACACTTGCAAGGCCAAAACGCTAGCAATCTTATTGCTGCGTCTACTTGCACATGCTGTCATTTGGACTGGCCTTGGCCTGCTTATTCGCTTTCGCCCCCTGCCCCTCAGAGAATAAATGCCGCCACGCGGGGAACAACATATTATCGGGCGCAACTAACCGCTTTATCCCGTGACGACCCCCTCGCCTGCTCCCAACAGGTGGACAGATAGCCAGAGGGCAGGTTGCCGAAGAGAGGGGTGTCCGAAAGGCGAGCAGAAGAAAGGGATGGTCTTCGCATTGGGGGTTGGCCCTGTTATGAACGCTTGGCCTCCAACATTCCCAGAAGGCTGCGGAATGACTTCTCTCTGTGAATCCGACATCGTGCCCCCTTGCACGTTGAAACGTGCTAGAACGCCAAGTGCTGTCTGGTAGGGTTTTCGTACTCAAGGGCCCCCCACTCTCCGGGCCACACCTCGTCGCGTGCACCGTCCTTACGGGTCCTGGGCGGTCATGGCACATCCCTGGGACTCTCTAAGGCTTCCATGACGGCCCACGAGGCCCCCAAGACAGTCCAAGAGGGCCCCGAGATGCCGAATGATGGCTCGAAAACGCCTTCAACATGGCGCAAAAGGCTCCCAAGGCGCCCCAAGAGGCCTCCATGAGGTCTCCCAAGAGGGCCCCCAAAGACAAACATCATTGATTTCCTTTTCTTTTTGAACATTGTGGCGTTCTCGCCGTTTCGGTATTCCGACGCTCCAAGACGGCCCAAGAGGCTCCCAAGACAACCACAAACGGCCCAAGAGGCATCCAAGAGGGCCCTAAGACGGCCCCCGACGGGCCCCAGACAGGGAGCGCGAACCGAACATCCGAGCGCTTCCGCCCCAATGGGCCACCAGGAGGCCCCAAGAAGCGCCCCAAAGGTCCCAAGAGGCCCCCAAGATACCCCCAAACGGCTTCCAAGAGGCCCCAAAACTGCCTCCAAGAAGCCCCCGAGAGCCCTTCCACGAGATTCCAACAAACATTCAATATGCTTATGACCCACAACCCAAAACCGGTGGCGGGACTTGCTGTAAGCAAATGGATATGAACCCTACCGTGCGATGCCTGTCGTCGCGCGCAAAGCATGTCGTCGGATCTGGATAATACTGAGGGAGCCTGCAAAGCTCTGAGTCGAAGTGTCCACGCATCAAACCAACGGCGTCAAGCCAGCATTCTACGACTTTAACACTAACTGTTTTTTGTGTGATTGACCTTGAAGACAAAGTCGAGGTAGAGGTTCAATCGATTAACCGCCAAGGGTCAATGCGCCTGCGAACGCTTCAAAACAGAATTGCAAAGACACTTCGCAACGACACATTCAGTGGGCCCCACCTTGAGAAAGCATGCCAAGATCATTACGTACATTGGTCCGTGGCCATGGTACATTTTTTGCGCCGCGGAGCCAATCATTGAACAGAACACGCGTGTTATCGGTGCAAATGTTTTCAGCGCCGAGGACCAGCAACGTCAACGCCACTGCATCCGTAACCCAACACACAGAGTCGCCTGCCATAGTCCACCTGGGACGGGGCCGAGGTGCAGTCTATGCTGTGGCATCGTGGCCCCTCCCAACCCTTTTGCGACGGCTGTCCAGCGCTATGAAACTACGCCAAAGCGCGTTCCACTGTTTCCTCCGTATGCTGCAGAAAAGGTTCTAACTGGGCGAGCGGAGCCAATTGCAGCATGGGAGGTGGGTTTCCCGCTCGTGCCCCCAAGGCGAAACGGTGGCGTGGCCATGCACCGCCCACATGAATCGCTTTGCTTTGATCTCTTCTAACGTTCCCTGCCTTTCTTATCCCTGCTTGTTGCACTGCCTTGCTAAGTATGCCTTGCATCGCCTTGTCTTGCTTTGCCGTGCTGTACGTTCGTGTCGATTCGCTGTGATTGGTGCTTCACAAGCGCTCTGCTTCGCACTGCTGTTCGTTGCATTTTAGCGTGCTCAGCTAGGAGGATGGGATACTTCGCCAGCCCAACGGGCCAGCGGCGTGCTAAGATCTCCGGCGACTGCTTTACAATACTTCTGCTTCGCGCGCGCAGGGCGGCCCCTGGGGGTCCCTGGGCGAAAAAAACCCAAGACGGTCCCGGCAGACTCGGGTCAGAGATGGTTTTCCTCTTGGGAGTCGCCCTCGAGTTTCTCCAGAGAGCCCCGAGAAGAGCCAAGAGGCGTCCAAGAGGCCCTCGAGATGGTACAAGAGGTCCGAAGATGCCTTAAGATCACTTCAAGACGCCCAAGATGGCCGTCGGAAGTCCCAAGAGGCCTCCAAGAGCACTCCCAAGAGGACCCCAAGAGGCAAACTTCAATGTTTGTCCCAGGTTTTGGACAGATTTTGGCGTTTCCACCTTTTCGGCTTCCCGTCGCAGCAAAAGACGGTCCAAGAGGCCCCAAATATCGCCCCAAGATAGCGTAAGAGGCCCCCAAGAGGGCCCCAAGACGACCCAAGAGGGCTCCAAGACGGCCCAAGAGGCCTCCAAGACGGCCCAAGCGGGCCCCAAGAATGCCCCAAGAGGGGTCCCAGAGGGGGAACACGAAACAACATTTCGAGCCCTCGGCCCTAAGAAGCCCCCAAGAGGCCCTCAGGAGGCCCCAAAGAGGTCCCCGGGCTTGAGCCCTGGTGCTTTCGGCGGCCAAGTGGGCTCGTACGCCGAGTGGGTTCGAACGTCGAACAGGGTGGGGTCGGGCGTTGGCAGAACTGGGTTTAGTGGAACCTGGTTTAGTGATTTGTACTACTGGGGGCGCCCCCCCGTCCCATTTCCACTAACCGGAACTGCCGTCACCCGAAAACCACCAGTTACGGCAAACCTGGTTTAGTGTATCTGGCCACTTGAGGGGCCCCAAGGCCCTACCACTAACCGGGTCCCCTTACCTGGGGTCCTGGCTATACCCGGTGGGGGTGGGCGCCGAACGACCTGGCGAATAATCCGAGCGACCCGCCGACCGGAAGCGGTCAAAGGCATCAGCCAGACGCCCCTCGAGAGAGACCTATGGGGGCGAAGCGGACCCTCGAACGAGGAGAAGGAGAAAGAAGGACGAAGACCACCCTCCAACCCGCTCTCTCATCGTATTTGGCAACCTCTTCCGCTCCCGCTCGCTCTCGCAAGAGACAAGGGCGGGACTTGCCAATGCGCAGCCCTGCTCAGCCTCACGCTGCCCTGGGGGACTGGTTCGGGCCTGGTGGCGCCTCCGAAGCAACTAATAAGCTGGTCGGCCCGTACACTGCGCAGGTTCTTTCGTCTCCGAATCCTTCGCGACGCCTGGCGCGACATCACGCTGCACGGTTGTACAGAGCCAGGGCGGCAGAGCGAGCCCCACGTTCACTGACCTCCGAGACGCGATACCCAGGGATTCGCCCAACCAGGCCGACGTTGAAGACAACTGTTGCCCTCGAGGCGAACGTGGTCCTTCCGAAGAAAGGATGTGGGGGATGCGGCGCCGCGCGAAGAGAACCGCGGTGGAGCGCGAGCCTCCTCCGCCTCTCTCACGGAGTGGGCATGCGCAGCGATGCCCAGTGGCTTGGGCCGCGAAGGTGTCCCGCGCTGGCGGGGCTCCTGCGGCTCAGTGACCTCCTCGGCCAACAGCAGGTCGACGAGCTCCAGCGGCACGTTCTGCTCCTGGTGCGATTGGCTGGCCGGCGGCCGCGGCCGCTCGCACGTGCCCGTGCGTTCCCCCCCCCGCAGACCGCCATGCCGCCTACCGCTCCGTGTCTGTCAGTCCGTGGGGGATCTGCTGCAGACCAGAGTGCCAGACCTGGACCCCCTCCCGTTTCGAAAAAGTCACGACGGGAGGATTTTCGTTACATTCGGCCTCTGGGGGCTTAACGGGCCTCGGGATCGTCAGACAGCGACTCAGGATGAAAAAACCCGTCCCGGGGAAGGGGTCCGGACCTCTGAGCGTCGACGCTGCGAAAAAAAACACGACAAAGGGGTCTGGGGACTTTCGTTTTGGGGACCTGCCTGGGGCCCACCTGTCGGATCCGCTCGACTCTGGTTCGACTCTAGCTCGACCCAGATCCGACTCAAGTCGACGGACGTTCGAAGCAAAACCGACGCATGAGAGCGTGCTCCGTTGTCGCCGAGATTCAACCTGGAAGTCCAAGGGCCCCTAGCTTCCCGCTCTCGCGCCGCCCCCCAGGGGAACAGAGGAGGATGAGGAGGAATCGGAGCCGAAGCGCGGAATAACCTCGCGCCCTCGAGGGCGCTCGATCATAGCGAGAGCTTACAGCTATGTTGGGAATCTGGATCTTGCGACGCCGAACTGAAAAAGAACAAATTGTTGGAAAACACGGACGACGCTTTCCAACAATTGAGTCGGCCACGAACCACCCCCCACTTACAGTACGAAAACCTACATCGCCGTTAGCGTGCCTAGGGACAGCGAGAGTTCCTCGAGCGGCGCGCAACAAAGGGGGGGCCCACTGCGCGAGGGGAGAGGCGCCCTGCAGGAAGTGAGGCCTCGCCCCCCCCTCTCGCCATCGCTCGGACGTCCATTCCCCTGGCATTTCTCGACTTCGTGCGTGAACTTTCCCGCGAGGTGGCCAAGGATGCTCCTCGATGGTCCTCGCCGGGAAAGAAAAGGATGCACACGTCCCAGCGATGCCAACCAAGTTCTGGAGGGCGTGGGGCGCCTGGCTCCTCAGAGGGCGGCCGGCCCCTTCTGACAAGGCCCCCGGGCTCCCGGAGGGCCGCCCCCCCTCGCCGGGGCTCGGGCCGAGAGGTGTTTCCGTTCTCGCTCCGTCGGAGGGCCGCCCCCCCTCGCCGGGGCTCGGGCTGAGAGGTGTTTCCGTGCTCGTGCTGTCTTCGCCGTCCCTCGTTTCCTTTCTCGTTCGTTTCTCGTTCGCCGTCCCTCGTTTCCCTCGGTCTGTCTTCCGTTCTCGTTCGTTTCCTTCGTTCCGTCCTTGCTGCAAAGCGGAATCGAGCAAAAACGGTCCACGAGGTTGCCAAAGCACCGTTGAGATCGAGCCCTGCCCCTCTCTCACCCCGCATCCGACTCGACTCCGCTCAAAACTTGCCCATGGATCTCCCGGCTCTTCCTTGCCCGCTGCTCGAGCTGCGTCTGGCGGTGGCGACATGCGACGCCCCCCGAGGGCCCCTAGGTAAAACAACTGCAAGCCGTACTGCTCGCCCAGCCCTGGTCGGCGCGCCGCGAATACCATCTCTCTCTCTCTCTGGGTCGTGACCAATGCCTCTGGGTGAGCGAGTGCCGCGAGACATGCGCAACAGAGTCACACTGATACGTAAGCAGCCGATGCGCAGCACCGATGCACAATGGTGACAGGACGCCGAGGCCGAGGCCACCAGCCAGCATGTCCAGCCGCGCATGCATGGAAGACGACGGCGAACACGACGAAGATAAGGATAACGACATCTGCGGCAGTCGGCGTCGCCATCGCTCCAGGGGAAGCCTGGGCAATCTGCCGAGACCTCGTGCGCCCAGAATGACTGCATAAACGAACTTAAACATTCGACGGTCTGCGCTGGCGCGCGTGGCGCGCCAGGGGCGGCGCCGGAGGCGCTGCCAAGGGAGAGAAGCGCACATCCGAGGAATCCGCGCGGACCGTGGAAAATTCATGATTATGATCTTTGTTTATTACTTTTCTTCTTCTCTTTCTTTCTTTGAGAACAAGATCTGGAGGCGAATTCACTCGTGAAGATTTGGACGCCCGAAATGGGTACGAGAAAAGCGGGTACTTTTCCCAACAACAAATGTTGTCCCAAACCAGCAGCGGCCGCTGTTCGGCAGGCGGTCTTCTGTTTCGAGTGGACACAGCCCGAGGCGACACCGACACCGAGTGCTTTCAAAATGAACAGGAACTGGTCTCGGTTTTGTACCCGTTCGCTCCGTACCCATGTCGATCGTCCCGAGAAGATGGGGGGCGCCCCCACGGACCACCCAAAAGGCCCGGAACGCCCAGAGAAACCTCGCGTGGCCTGCGCGGCATCGCCGCGCGCCGGGTCGGCCTCTGTTCCCTGGAAAGGTAGGGGCCCTGGGCGGCCGCCGATGCTGAAACTTCCAACTCTCCTGGTCCTTCTCCCTCTCTCCTGGCCTTTTCTGCCTCCTCCTTCCTCCTTCCCCGCCCCCCTTGCAGTCTTTTTCGTCGTAAACAACTCCTCCTTGTCGCACCCAGAAAGCCGGTCGAAAGAGCCGGCTGGGCGTTTCGCTGGACGGCGGAGCTATTTCTCTTTTTCAATATCTCTCTCTCTCTCTCTCTCTCGCTCTCTTTCTCCCCGCAAGCAGCGTTCCCGAGCAAACACGTCCATGTGGCTTTGCTCTGTTCTCACCGCCAAAGGACAGACATGTCCGTGAGCACTTAAAGCCCTGAGAGCACGGCCAGCTCACTGGGCGCCACACATCGATGGCACAGGACGACAGTTCAGGATCCCCCAATCCCAATGCTTGGAACTGGCCCAGGGTATTGCGCGAAACGCTCAGACTTGTAACAGTAAGGCGCAGACGCGCTCAACAAACAACTGAAGGTATGGCTGTGCCACGAGTGTCTCCAATTTACCGGATCTCACCCCCCACTGGTCCATGTTTCTTATTCGTGGCCGAACAGCGGCCGCCGCTCATGCGACATTTCTGGATGCTACGTGCACCTGGATACCGAAAAGCGAGCAATGACGTGTCCTTCTGTTTGTCAGAAACTGGCGCCGCCGAAGTGCATTGCAAGGTTTTGCGAGCCAGATCCTGGAGGTCATCGGATTCTCGATGATAGCCCAGACTTTGAACAACATGCATTGACGAGCGATGGCCGCCGAGGCCCGCATCAGGGCATTGCCTAAGCGGACCTTCTGAGTATCGTTGTCGCCGAGGCCCAGGGGCCCGAGCAGACCTGGCCCCGAATCCCGAAAGGGGCGGGGCCAGCCCCCCCCCCCCCCCCCTTCGGGCTCGGCGTCAGGAGGTGCGAGGTATCCCGAGCCACCCGGCGTGGCGAGCCGGAGCGGCTGCAAGGGCGACGAGGGCGAATCCGGCGTCGGGCCGACCTGGTCCGTGTAGACCCTGAAGCCCCCGCGGGCCATCACGATGGTGAGATGCCGGGGTCCCGCCCAAAAAAACACCGCGACGCAGCGGCCGCGCCTCCAATGGGCGCCCGTCGGCGGGTCAACGATGTCAGCGTCGCCGTGGCCGCGAGCGCGCGTGCCTGCGCGGTTGCTGGGGGCTGAGCCTCTTCGCGTCGGGGCCGGGCAGCTGCCTCGTGCCGCCTCATCGAGTCTTCCGCGCTCCAGCGCCCCCGCTGCTTCGCCTCCAGCGGGGTCCTTGCGCTGCCCATCCCGCGCTCCAGCGGCCCGCCGTGCCTGAGCTGTTGCAACGCGCGCGTGCTCTCGAGGCCGACGCGCGGCCGGGCGGCCTGGAACAGCGCGCTGAACCGCGGCGTCGTGGACGGGGGGGGGCCATCTTGCCGACGGCGATCGACGCGGCTTCCAACGGCGCCTGGCCCACGAACAGCCTCTAGGCGTGGTCGATGAAGCTCTCGCGAGGGGTCGCCGTGGTCTTCGACGTCTGCCCGCGCTCCTCTGGGCGCAGGTTGATCGCTGAAAAGATCGCGGTGGGGCGCGACGGGGCGGCGACGCTGGCCTCCTGGAGGGCCAGGCCATCCAAGGGTCGGTGGTGGCACGCGAAGCAGAGCGCTTCCAGCTGCGCTGGCAGCGGCTCGCCCCGGTTGACCACCTGCGCCGCCAGCGCCGCGACGATCCAGGGCATCGGCGGCCGCGTCGCCGCTGGGCGCTGGCAGGCGCGAAGGGTGCGAGGCGCAGGCCCGCCCCCTCTGCCCGCCGACGGGCATTTCGCCTGCCAGGTTGCGTAGAGAACCTGCCCCGCGGCGCGGTCGTCGCCGTTGGTGTGCATCTTATGCGCCAGCTCTGCCCTCGCTGCGTCGGCGGCTTCCAGCGAATCCGCCCCCGTGCCCCAGCCGATGCAGAACGAGCGGGGCCTCCGCAGAGCCGCGAATTGCCTGGGCCAGGAGGCCGGCCTCGCGGCCGACAGCGCCAGGTCGTTGGCGACTCCCGCGCCGAAGCGGAGCGCGACGTCTCAGATGCCCCGCAGGAGCCCCGACGACAAGGGCATCGACCTGGTATGCCGTGCAATGACCTTGCGCGAAGGGCGCCTCCGCCCCGCGCGAGCGGGCGCGACTTCGACGTCGCCGGCTCGCCCTCGACGTCGCGCGTTGCTCTGCATAGACTGCGCCGCATAGGCAGCGCCACCTGAATAGCACAGTGTAGACTGCGCCGCAGCGAGCCTCGATGACCCTCTGGCCTCGCGGACTGGGCCCGGCGACGGCAACGACGATGGTGGACAGTCGCCTTGGCTCGATCCTCGGTCCTCGGATCGAGGACCCAAGATCTTCGAGTCCAAGCTGGGCGGCCCTTTGGCCCGGGATCCACGGTGCTCGAAGATGCGCGGATCCAAGATCGAAGATCCTCGATCCGAGGATCGGGGATCGAGCCTCGTTGATGGCGGCCCGAGGCCCGACGGCGGCGACGAGGACGATCGACGATCGCCGAGACTCGATCCTCGATCCTCGGATCGAGGGCCCACGGTCCTGGAGTCCAAGCTGCATGGGCGATCCTCGGATCTAGGATCCAAGGTGCTCGCAGATGCTCGGGTCCAACATCGA